TTCCAACTTCGATTTCATACTTTCTGACCATCTGTGACACCAATAAGTTTGCGAAAAAGTGATAACGCAATGGAAATTCGCAGGCAGGTGTAAATATTTATACTTCTTCTATCGAATTAAACCAACGATTAAATATCGACTCAGCATGTCTATACTTTATGCGGATATAAACTGCTACATATATATTGTCAGAGTGTAAATTTAGTTATTTTTATTTTCACTAATCGATCTGCCGACCCAATTAATATCCACGGAATTAACAAAAGTCGACTGCACCAGTAAATATACAAATCTTCGAACAAGAAAATCTGTTAAAACACCAGAATTTCTGAAATGAATTTCGCTCCGTTTACTGTTTGTCCGAACAATATAATGCATTTGTACGTTGATGATATGTTAATGGGCATACACGTTTCATTCGGAAATGAATGCGTATACCGCGAAACGATTTTAGAACATAATTATACTACAAAAATGGCCGGTAGAGGCGAAAGCATCAGAATACGTAATGCGATTCGAAAAATTACCGGAGCGCTGCATTCTATAAATGTTGCTGCGTTATTACCGTATATTATTAACACACTGCGGGTAGTTTTACTTCTATTCTCCTCATTTTCATGGAAATTTCATATTCATCAGAGCTTTTTGTTCATCCAGGAACATTTGAAAATTGCGTGAAATGAAATCGACAAATTCGAAAAAATTTTAAGCAAAATACAAATGAGAGCCTCCGTTAACGAGCTATAAATTATTTTCAGTAAAACGTTTTTGCAATTAACATACGCCATCGAAACAGGGAACTTTTATTCGTTACGGTTCATTTAACATAACACGGTTAAAATTGAACGTCTTTTATAAAAAAAGTTATTTTTTTCATTCCACAATAATTAGCGAACAGCAATTTTACAATCAAGATAGAAGCGATCCAAAATTACACAACCGAGAAATCAAAATCATAACATGAATGTTGACAAAGTCACTTTATCATTATTTCGACGATAATTATAATGCAAAATTTTATTATGTTATAGATATTATTATTATACGTAGATACTATATTTTATTTTTTAAGCAATTTTGACCATTGTTATACACATATGAGAACCCTTTCGTCGTTCTAACGAGTAGAATCGATTCAAAGGGTTTCCAAACAGTATTAGCCCTTTGGCAGTGTTAATAATGGCAAGGTAATATTGAATGAAGATTCGACATTAACAAAGCTTTGCTTTTAGGCCGAACTCGCGTAAACAGTCCACATTGAACACTTTGTGTATATTAATTTGCAACGCACGAAAATTGCAATGCCCATTCAGATTCTACCTCATTAGAGTACCCGTGCACATTGTTGTCTGAAATGTTATCGAAGCGGCACATTTCAGAACAATAAAGTTCTATTAAATTCAGTTTTCATAGAGTAATCTACACTCTACATTCTACTTCTCATTGTACGATCTTTCATTCTTTGAAAAAAAAAAATAAAAACAGAAGATATAAGTGGTATAAGTGCCATTTTTGAATGACCATTTTGTGACTGATAAGAAATCTGATGTTTAGATTTCGCATTTCTTGATGACACACGTTGCTGTAACAGTTGCCTGACGATTATTAAACTGAGGTGACGTACGTCAAATTAACACCTAACGCTGGTGGTGACGTACGTCAAATGAACACCTAACGCTGGTGGTGACGTACGTCAAATTGACTCCTAACGTTAGTGGTGACGTACGTAAAATTGACTCATAATGCTAGTGGTAGGTGACGTATCAATAATGGTGACTTGAAGTCAAATTGACCCCTTATCAATAATGATGACTTGAAGTCAAATTGACTCCGTATCAATAATGATGACTTGAAGTCAAATTGACTTCGCATCAATGATGGTGACTTGAAGTCAAATTGACCCCTTATCAATAATGATGACTTGAAGTCAAATTGACTTCGCATCAATGATGGTGACTTGAAGTCAAATTGACCCCTTATCAATAATGATGACTTGAAGTCAAATTGACTTCGCATCAATGATGGTGACTTGAAGTCAAATTGACCCCTTATCAATAATGATGACTTGAAGTCAAATTGACTTCGTATCAATAATGGTGACTTAAAGTCAAATTGACCCCTTATCAATAATGATGATTTGAAGTCGAATTGACTCCGTATCAATAATGGTGACTTGAAGTCAAATTGACTTCGCATCAATGATGGTGACTTGAAGTCAAATTGACCCCTTATCAATAATGATGACTTGAAGTCAAATTGACCCCTTATCAATAATGATGACTTGAAGTCAAATTGACTTCGTATCAATAATGGTGACTTGAAGTCAAATTGACCCCTTATCAATAATGATGACTTGAAGTCAAATTGACTCCGTATCAATAATGATGACTTGAAGTCAAATTGACCCCTTATCAATAATAATGACTTGAAATCAAATTGACTCCGTATCAATAATGGTGACTTGAAGTCAAATTGACTTCGTATCAATAATGGTGACTTGAAGTCAAATTGACCCCTTATCAATAATGATGACTTGAAGTCAAATTGACTCCGTATCAATAATGATGACTTGAAGTCAAATTGACTCCTTATCAATAATAATGACTTGAAATCAAATTGACTCCGTATCAATAATGGTGACTTGAAGTCAAATTGACTTCGTATCAATAATGGTGACTTGAAGTCAAATTGACCCCTTATCAATAATGATGACTTGAAGTCAAATTGACTCCGTATCAATAATGATGACTTGAAGTCAAATTGACTTCGTATCAATAATGGTGACTTGAAGTCAAATTGACTCCATATCAATAATGGTGACTTGAAGTCAAATTGACTTCATATCAATTAGTTACGACTTGACACTATTGATATGGTGTCAGTTCGACATCAAGTTACCATTATTTCTGCGGAAACACTTCGACGTCACGTTACCGCTAGTGATATCAAAACGGTGGTCACCACTTGAAGGTAAAAAACAAAGAGCATCATTACCGGAGATTTTCCGTTCGAAGGTTCCATCGAAAAACGCTGTTACGAAACGACACCGGCGCAGGGGAAATATTGTCCTGTATCAGCAGAGCGCATCGTTCAGGAAAACTATGTCGTTGGACGGCCGTTCAACGAGCGGCCATCGATATTCAGCAAAAATTCCCATCCCAATTAATAGCTGCCGAGTAATCCGGCTGATGGTTAATAAACGAAGCAACGCATCGAAACCAAACATCCTTATTAATGCTTGTCAAACAAACACGCTCGCACAAACGTCAATTAGCGATCCGTATCGGGGATCCATGACGACGGTTGGGCTTGCATCAAAAATCGGCTTGGCGAGTGCGCTCGAGAACGAACCGCGAAAGCATGGCGGGTGTGCACGGCGGGCGAAGGGCGGAGAGGAGAGGGCCGTGCCGGTGGCTCGCGTTAATAATTTACAACGCTTATGCGCCGGACGAAATTTACAGCGCGTAACATCGGCGCGACTAGCTTTACCCCGATTAAAGCCCAAAGCGACTGCGGCTCCTAACGGCTGATTTACGATTCATCCCCCGCAATGGCGCATGCATACGCTTTCGCGCGTCTGCATTCACGCGCCCGCACGCTTCCACGTGCTCAGACAGTCAAAGCGTGCCGTGGACAGCCACCCGGCACGACACATATTGAGAGGAGCCGATGCAAGAACGTTCATCTAATTATATGCATCGGCTGAACTGTAATGGCGTCATAATTGACATAGCTTCGTTAATTATCGTCTAGCTTATTAACATGACCTGCTCGACATCAATGTTCCCTATGCCATTGATCGATGAAACGAGCAACGTGCCGAAAAAACTTCAGAAGCGTCGAATTAACCCTTGTCGATGCAGCTGTCGCTGAAATGTCAGGCATTTGTCTTGCTATCGTTCGGATCTTGAAGATTCGTAGAAAATTTGTGCATTTTCCTGCTGCAAATTACCGACCGAGTTTCTTGCTTCGGGTTTGGCATGCGTAGAACATGCTCCTGATCAGGTATATCACTTTTGATGCACTGTAGATTGTTTTCTGTTCGAGTTAATTTATGTTAATTTTCACAGATCATTAAAGTTGACTGTCAAGTGGAGAAAAATGAGCATTTATTTAACTCGAACAAAACAAAACAAAACATAGATTCCGGTAGAACGAAACGTTCTCTTTCGAATGATTTGAAACATTTAATGTTTTAAACGAAACGTTAAAATTTAAAAAAGGAAACGGCGGAAACGTAGTTGTCGATCCAATAATACACCTCATGCACTCGATCAATTGTCGATGGTTACACAATGAGCCGCCAAAATCCTCCGGAACGTTATCCAGCTCACAATTAAACAATAAATAACTACGTTCAGCGTTCGCTTAATCTTTCGACCGTTACGCCAGAAATTTAGCTGTTCTTTCGGCGAGCGTCTCCCGCGGAACTAAGCACTTCCTATTCAGCCGAAACGGCACGCACTCCCCCGCACAATACTGGTGGGAATTTAAATAGAAACAAAAACCGTCGTACTACATGGAATAATGGAATCCGTCGCGTCGTCGCGGGTAGAAAGTAGGAAGCATGGGGACGTAGTCGCGAGCACAGTTGAATATGTTTAAAAGCGGGGAGCGCGCCGTACGAACAATGAAGCGAACTAATGTGACCGGTCGAAGAATAGGAGGAAAGATAACAATACCGAGTGAACAATAAATTCAGCAGCGTTGACCAATAAAATCGGAACCGTCCGCGACGCGAATGTAGAAGAGGGAGGCAGAGAGAGAGAGAGAAAGATAGATAGATAGATAGATAGAGAGAGAGAGAGAGAGAGAGAGAGAGAGAGAGAGAGAGCTATGGACGTCGGCGTCGCTGGTAAAAATCGCGTTACATGTACTTGCCGCAATAATCACGAAGTGGAAACAAAAGAAGGGAAGGTGACGAGTGTGAGAGAGGCAACAGATAGGCAGCGAGATAAACGTTCCGGTTGATCAAGCATTTTGCATTGCTGTCATAACAGGCACCACGGACGCATCGATGCTGAGCCCGTTGCTGTTGGGTCTGGCAGCAACAGCGACTCTTTTGGCCCTGGCCGTAGCTGGAATCCTGGCGGCGCTCTACCGGAAGCACTCGAACGGCCGGTCCGGAAGTCCAAAGCACGCTCCCATCGTGTGCGAGCCACCTAATGCAGGTGCAACTACCCCGATACACTCTCAGACCAAGCAGGCGGTCGATGACATCGATCCGGACATCATACCCAACGAGTATGGTGAGTCTACGAGTTTCCGATTGTTCGAAACGTGCGCCAAATTACGGTCTACGTGCACACAACAAGCACCCCGTAACCCACGCACGCACACAGGCCGGCATATGCGCGTACATACACACAGGAGAACCAACACCTGGCACACGTACCCTCTTTTACTTGGCGCATATTCCTAGCTTTATCTCGATCAAAAGTTGCTTGAATACCGCATGCGATGCTTTAATCGCTGCTGCTTCATCTTCTTCTTCTTCTTCTTCTTCTTCTTCTTCTTCTTCTTCTTCTTCTTCTTCTTCTTCTTCTTCTTACCCCAGACTTTATTGGTTATTTAATTTAATCGTTGGCCCTTTCTGCCGGTCTGTAATTGAATCACTGGAATTGGTAGTTTTGAGGGTTTCGGTGAAAGGACTTGCAGACTGTCACGCAGAAATAGCATTTAAGGTTTGCGGATGTAGTGATTCTATAAGTTGTAAGTTACATTGTACTTTTGAGTGGGTGAACTTCTGAAGAAGGCTTCTCCTCGCAGATTTTAACGGGACTTTTTTGAGCCATTTTATTTTGAGTCGTTCTATTTCTTTTTGTGCACGACAGAAAAAAAACAGAAAAATTGATCGGTCGTATCGCGATGGCCGTCAATAAATTTAAATAGTTTCCCGATATGATAATTATTTAGAAAAGAAGTCTCCTCACCGATTTTGTGATTGCCTTGGAATACGTTGTCAAGGTCATCATTTTGAACAACTTTCTCCACAAAACTGCCCCTGCGGAAGTTTAAACGATTAGCTTGTTAAGTAACGTGGAAAAAGTACTAAATACTTCTTTTTACAACTATTTAGTTATTTGTTATTCGAGCATCGGTTGAATTAAAAAATTTATTTATTTATTTAAAATTACTCCAGCCGTGTATTGCCTGTGGATGTTTCGTTTGGTTCCAATTATAATCCAGAAGTTATCAGTTCCAATTAAATGTTCATTTCAGTTGTAACACGATATTTAATTTCAGTTTCGATACGTGCATGTACACTTCCCAAACTTGTTCAATACTTGGTCCACAACTTCGACAAGAAGTTCTATAGCGTTCACCTGGTAGCACAGTCATCATCGCCCTTTCCATTAGAAAATGAAATTCATACGTTTCCTATATTGAAACGATGATACTTCTCCGAACAGTGAACTGTAACCAATGTGTATCTATCAAATTTCTGCCGCAGTTTTGCGATATCAAAATCGAGCATCGCAGCGACCCATCCGACAAGTTCTCAATCTGGAAATGAAATTTGTATCAGTTTCTCACTTAAACTAAACTTTAATATTAAAATAAAAAAAGGTAAAATGACGTCGGTATTGCTCGTAAGAAAAGCGAATGTTAAACTTCGATGTTCCGTGCGTATAAAAGCGAACAACAATGTGCAAAAATATGGAATCGAATTAAATATGTCATTGGAAAGTTGGAATAGTTCTAAGAAACTATAGAACGTGATTATGGTGATATGACATATAATAATTGCGACACTTTTACCGTATTATGATTATACCTGAATAATACACCTCGATAGTGCTCAGCGATAATGCCGAGCCTTTTACCCAGAGACGCTGTCAACCGTAATAATTCTATAGATCCCTGAGATGATACACTTCGTTTACATAAACTTAAAAAAAAAACGTTAATACAAGAACGTAAAGCACTCGAAATAAAGCACTCAATTGAACTCTAAAACGATTGCTTTTTATAGTACGTTTATTCATACGTTTCTCTTATTATTCGTTATTTTCTACAAAACCTATTCGTACGGCAAATAAAAGTTATTGCATCGGTTTCATAACTATGTTTTTACGATTTCCTTTTTAGTTACATATGTTTACAATACTTACGTTGAATCCGAAGCATTCGTCCGTATCTGTTTCACTGGAGAAAAGCAAGCTCCATATTCACGAAGCAAGGGAACAAATATTTTTATACCGCCGTGTACAGTCGCATTTCAAAGTAAAATAACGGCATTTCAAACATATGGTTCTCTGTTACTATTGAACGAGTTTGTTTGCTTTTAAAACAACGAGCACGTTCATGTATCTACTAAACAGTAATTATTTTACGTCAATAATGTCGTAGTACTATTTGATTATTAAGCAACTTTTCCAATTGACTGTACGTATCTGCGTGTCATTCGTTTTGGCCATTACTCCGATACGGATGTGTCCAAATAAAGAAGTGCACCGACAGTTGTCAATATGTTTGCTCGATCAAGATATGTATTTAAGTAACACCTGCCACTGGTTCATATAGATTGACACAATGTGGGATAAAATCTTATACTGAATTATTTGAAGTAATTTCATCTGAATAAAAAGCATTTTGTTTTCTGGTATCATTAATTCAACCACTGCTTATATTCATCAAATAATTTGATAAAAGTATTTAGATCTCCGTGTAGATTGATGGACTTCGTATTTCGTGTAAAAGAAATGACTATATGCAGAAAGATTGAAATTACTTTTAGCTTGTTTTTATCACAAGAAATAATTTAGTCAAGGAGAGGAATTCGTGCTTTTGTTCTCATAAAATTGATAATAATATTGATAATAATTACCATAAAGATCTGCAGCCTATTCATCGTAGGAAAATTAATAAACATTTTATAACGTTCATTTCCATTACTTTAAAGTCTTGTCAGCACAGAGAAATTTTCTCTTTGACTTGATTGTAATTAGTCTGCAGATCTTTATGCAAAATAAAAATTGTTCAAATCAATTCCAAGGAACAGAAACTTTTAATTTATTCATTCTTTTAAATTGTATTCATTCATTTTTGTCATAAATGCTTCAACATTATAATAATTTAATAATTATAATAATTATTAAATTCAAGGTTATATAATTCAATAATTATAATAATTATTAAATTCAAGGTTATATAATTCAATAATTATAATAATTTAATAATTCAAGG